CCTATGGTCCAGGCAAGCTCTACCCAACTCCCAAAGCCTAGATTAATAAAATAACAAGAGAGAGCTGGGGAATGTAATCCCATTAGATGTGCCCCAGGAAGCCCCAGAAACGAGTGCTGCAGCTTCATGTAGTTCCCACTGGAAGTAGTACATTCATTAACGTGTGTTTATCATCAACACTGCGTTGGGAAGTCCTGTCCCTTAGGAGCTCTAGGTTTAACCTCAGAACCCTCCAGGAGAAAAGCCTGAAGTAACTACAACAGGGAAAGCAACTCCCAGGCTCTTGCCTTGCCAGTTAGCATAGTGAGACTTCTGTTCAAGAAGGATTTGAGTGAGATAAGTAGCTTAGAGATCACAAAATCAGTGGCTGAATCACAGTTGAAGAGGAAGGGCCTAATAGTACATCGAATCCCTCCTCTCCTGGCTGCCAGGGCTCAGGTTTCCCCTTTCCTGCGTTTTCCAGTGCTTTGTCCCACTGAGGTTAGACCTGGTTGACCCCTGCTTTTCTGTTTCACGATTATCTAAGGGCCTTTCTACACAATAAGTTATTCTGGAATAGAGCCTCCAGGGTCCTCAGTGCCTGTGCTTGTCTCTCCCACTTCACCCCATCACTTGCTGCTTTGGTTCCTCATCCTTTGCAGTTGTTATTAATTCCACCCTGAATATTGTGGAAGGGGTGAAGTGTTGAGGCAAACGGGCATGAGTCCCTTCCCTGTGACTAGTTTGCTCTCTTCTGGGGAGAAGCAGGGAAGGCTTGGAGATGGATGATCTCCCCTGGTCACAGGCACCATAGTGAAGGAGGAAGCGCAGTAAGAGCACCTGTTTCCTGCCATATGGGGTAGCTGTCAATGACATTTGTCCCTCAGTTGAAAACCCTGTTCTCTTTCTTTCTTAGGCAGCTGAATGGAGAAGTAACCTGCTTGAGAGCCAGAATAGGATCCAGAGGGCATGTGGCTTCAGGCCAGTTTAGTAAACCAGCTCATCAAACCATGAGACCAGAGTTGGGTTCCCTGGACTGGGCTGTCATAGAGATCAGATTGGATCACTCCTTTTTGGCTCTAGTGTTTATGACCACTTCCCTCCCTCATCCTCCCTATGCTCTCCCTCTCATGTTCAGAAACCCTTTGAAATACTCATGGGGAGTGGACCAGGTTGAGTTTGCAGCGGGGTGAGCAGGCCGTGGGCGAGACAGTTGCATCGCCAAAGCGCTGTGTGCATTCAGCACTTTCTGCCAGCTCTGAATCCCTTTTAAAATTGATCCTGAACTCTCCTCCAGCCTGATGATTTG